AGAAGGATTTTAGCCCTATCATTTCTCGCTGTTAACATCTCTCGGTCACATAGAACACTGAGAGATTTTGTAATAATTAGGATCCAATGAACCTAGGTGTCTTAGGGTAGGTATACATTTCCTGCAAAAACGAGGGTAGGACCCAAGTATAGAGCGTAAGACTGGATGTTGCGGGCCGTGTCATAGGGGTGGACTGGAACCCAGCGGAGCGACCACTTTTTCTAGCAATGGCTGCGAACAGGCCAGTGCCACTATTGGTGGGAAAATGCGTTCGCTATCGAGCATCTGTTCGCCCCACTGATTCGCTCCGCTACATCCAGTTTTATGCGTAATATGTGTTCCACCGGAAGTTGTCGCGCGCAGGTTGCGTGGCGGCTCTATGGCATTGCTGATTCTGTTCCGTTGTATCATCCCATATGACTAGCAGAGCACGTCTTACGCTGGGCATCCCCAACGAGGACGGACGCATTTGGTCGCTGGGAAGGAAGGGGGTCGTACTCGGCACGACAACCTTGGCTGATAGTTGATATTGTGCTGTTTCGCGAAATCTATCCTCATCATTGGGAGGCTTTCCTCGAAGGAAAGGGGTTCTTCGACGCTCTGAAAAGGCGATCGTATGCGGTCTTAAGAAAATCTTTTCCGATCGTAGTTTTCTTCGTTTAACATTTGTACATGTGCTATATACCCCTCCCTTCTCTCGCTCGACGGCAGTTCTCAGGAGAGCCGAAAAATTTCTAGAAGAGGCTTTGAAAAGTGGTATGAAGAAGGAGAGTCAGTAAGGTGGTGCATAGGATCGGGAAGGGTTGAGGGGCGATGCGCACTTGAGGGAAAGGTATTTCGCAAAAAATTTGCCCTCAGCAACAGTACGGGTCCTGACGGATACACATGGAGCGCAAAGCCTCAGACAACTCGATGCAAAACAATCAACATGATTGACCACTCTTTCATTGCAACTGGCCCCTTTTTTATTGGCGGGTGAGAATTTCTTGGACTGCGGTAGTTGGAGGGTGTCATGCTAGGGAGCGACTATTCTACGCTGTGTCGTGTGTTGACATATTACTGCACCATCATTCATTCTGAGTTCGAGAATGGGTATTCATTACGAATTCATGTTCGTTTTCGACTTTCCGTTCAGAGCCGTACATGGTCAGAGGGAGCCGTATCTGGCTTTGAGAGAGGTTCTCCGGAATTTTGAGAACATTGCTCCAGTTATTTCTTCACCCCTTCCTCACCTCACGGTAGTTTTCTAGAGAAACTGGAAAAGGTTTTGGAAAAATGGGCGAGGTTTTGGGAAGATTCTGGAACATGGTGGATGGGGAAAGGCGGGAGTCTTATTGATACCGCCGTTTCAGCCATCTCAGCGCTGTACCCTGCCTGACACTGTCGCGTACCCCTTCCTTTAGCTTCATCTTCGATGTTATTCATCATATCTTCATTGATATGTACCTGCATAGACGATCAACAGTAACAATGAAACTACGAACCTTCTTCCGATAGAGCGGCTTTTCCCAGCCTGAATTGGCTCCCTCAACGCCGATTTCCCAGCAGCGAAGAGCTAGCTGAAATTAAGCCACTCTTCAATTTCTGTTTGCTTCAAATGGGAATTATACGCAAATATAACGACCGGAATGAGTACCTCATTCAGGTCGTGGACTATGCTAAAGCCAGCAGCTGGAGGTCGTGACGTGGTAGCTATAACTCTCATGCTTAATCAAACCTGATCAGTATAGTTGCGAAGGGCGTGGATTCTCCCGAAATTGCTCTCGAAATGCTGCTTCCACATCGACTCGGCATTTTGTGGGCGGAGCGCCATCGCCTTGTGAGTCTCATTCTCAGTGAGGTAGAAGATCGATAGCGTGTACCAATAGACTGTCTGAAATGATATAATGTATGACGTCGATCTTGAAGATCCGCTGTAGAAGAATGAGATGCAGAAGGTAGCGGAAGGCTTGTCATCAAGCTCGATAGCGCCTTCCCTGTATTCCTATCGTGGATGTTAGTACCTTATAGCACTCATGGAGGCATACTTCCGATGACGTCCCGATAGCTGTAAAACGCGATTTACATACCGATGTCATTCGTTAATAGATCTGGATCAGTCGATTAAGATAGTTCATTTAAGCATGCTCAGTATCACCTCACTGGATTATGCTTTATTGAATTCGGATAATCGATCGTGTATACGTACGACCACATTCAGAAGCTCCTCCTTCAGTGCATCAATGAAATTGCTCTAGAAAGGCTCTGATTGTAATTGAATTAGGAGTGTTGCCGAAAAGATTCAAAGAGCCTAGCCGAGTTGACACCACTATGCTATGTCAGTCTATCACGATCCTTCTTAGGAAAAGAGGCAATGTTCTGTGGCCGGGTCTCACGTTCATTGGCTGGGGTGTCGGGTGTGAAGTGGTTAGATGTCTTGTTAGCAAAACACAAGCCGGTTAGCCTTTCAATGGCAAAGGGCCCACATAAGGTTTTTTTTACCACCCAAGGCGTACTAACGATACGCTTGTACGCAAGAAATATGTGTGCCAAGTTTAGGCAGGCGCCTGATCGACTTATACAACCAGAGGAGGACCGATATGACCACCCAGGCTAATGCGGGCAACATGGCTGCAAGCCAGCAACAGGGCCTGCCACAAGGCGGAACAGGTCACATTCAACGCTGATACTCTTGATGGCTTCATTTATAAAAGTACGTGACTATGAAGCATTGCTTACATGGCATATATTGAAACAATAAGTACAGCCGTATCTATCAAAGCGGCTGCTGGCACGATAGCAAGGGAAAACTCGTCCAGAAATGCTCGTCCAGTGCTCGTGGAGAGCAAAGGCTTTTCGCAGTTTTGCCCGTATTTACTTCGTTCTTCCCACTTGAAATAAACAACGCCACTATTTGAGCACAGTACCAATATCTATGTGCCTCTGTAGCCTTTCAAAAGTTACACTATAAATATCCCGGAAGAATGGCAGTCGCAGGCGACGTGGCTGCGCCGACACTATTGAAATATGAAGCTTTTTGAAGCAGTACTGTCGCTTAGGGGCCAATGTATCAAGCTTTGTCCGGAATAGGACGCAATGAAATTGTTTTGCGAGTGAAAAGAACCTACCGTAAGAGCAATCTACCGTGTTCAAATGATAGGCCCACAGAGGCCCTCTTCAACTGTGGCGATGACGAAGGTGTGATGGGGAGCGGAATCTCGAGATACGTTGAAGAATCAAAACAAGGATGAAGGGGATGTGGTACTGTAGAAAGGTGACAGGTGTCTTTAAGAGCTTTACGAGCGTTTTGGTTGTTCAGGATTCATCCTTTAAGAACATATCTTGTTGTAAATTGTAAGAAACACTTTCTGCTATTTCTATATTTCGTACATTCGTTTTTCTTTCAGTGACGCAGAGCACTCTCGTTTTCTCAAGCCCTTACCAAAAGTTCTAGTAAATTAACTCTTTATGTAATTGTAGTGACGTGAAACAACTCACCTTATCGTTCAGTAGAACTTCCTCATGAGACCGTTCAATTGACCAGAATATCAGACCGCCTAGTAGTGAATAGGCAAAGAGTAGTATGACCGGGATTAGATAGTGAATACGCGACTTCTCGTAGACTAACTGAAAATTTATCGTGTTTCAAGGGCATCTTAAACGCTGATTGCATGGGCGGAGTCAGTCAAGCATTGCGTTCCCTCATTGGCCGGTTGCCCATTTCAAGACGGCTAGAAGAGGAGGCGCTCCATTGAAGAAGGCGGAGTGGTTGGGTCGATTCCGCCCATACGATCGGCGGGGCATGAGGTGAACTTTAACAACTAGCAGATCATGCTCGGGCCCACCACGCCCTTCTCTCACCGCCTACGACTGACTGTGCTGTTACAAACTATAAGCGAGTTGGTTTAGAACCGCTTCAGTCTCACTTCAAAAAGTGAACGTGGAAGTGGAACTGGAGTAGGGTCAAGTGTCGCGCTGGGGAAACTTTTTCCCTCACAAGGAAGGATGGTAGGTCGAAGTGGCCATTTGAAATGAAATGTATACCGGCTGAAAGGTCTTCGGACGGGAATTACGAAACCGTCTTCCATATCTGCTGCGGACCTCCCAGAAAGAAGTTACGGAGCTTTTTAGGGGGAGAATATTCGCATTCAGTACGAATTGGCGGCGTAAGGCTGTGTGATCGTGGCAGCATGGCCGAGTGGATACGTCGTAGGGCTCACGGATGCGTGGTCGAGGGTTTGGATCCTTGATGCGTGTGCTCTTTTGCATTTTTTCGAAAGTGGTCCCTGTGCACTTCAAAGCTATTTTGCATAACTCTTGTGCCTGATGATGTTATAACGTGATGTTTCTGAATTGATGGAGCCATTGCGATTACGATTTAGTAGAGGCATTAGTGATACTCTGGCTGAAGAGATTGTCATAACAAGCAGAAAAACAACAAGCAGTGCAAAAGTCACTTTGGGTAGACCATAATTTAACATAATGCAATGATGAATGAAGTTTTGCCATCGCGTATCACAAATGATGCCACATAAAACGCCACTTTCATTATGGAAGTCATTCGTCCCATGCTATATCTACCTCTTCGCGAAGAACTTCGTTAGGCTTCGATTACGGTTCCAGTCGATGTCGTTTCGAAAAATAAAGTTTATTTTCTTATGGATCCTTTATTGCGTGTGCTCTCTGGCATGAGGATATGTCTGTGACCTCGAAGCGATCATACAGCAATTAATACCGCTTGATAATGTCGTTCATTTTTTTGAAATAATGGTACCCCTTGCGAACAAGATTCCCATGAGAACATTTCTAGCTGTTGAAGCTTTTTCATTTGGATTTAAAAACATATACAATAAACTGTGATTCTAACAAATGAGTTTTGGCCCTGAAATAACTACCTCTAAAGCAAATAAATACATAATGGGGCAGGGGCTGGTTTAATTTACCGGTGAAAAATGAATTGGAATGAAATTGAAATTGAATGCAGTCACCCCTCTAACTTGATGGATGGATAAATAAAAATCGGAGAAGAAGTTTAGAAGAAGCTCCGCCCCTCAACTCTAAACCCCGCCCACTTAATAAACAATTCATATAGAAAAATAGCGATTTTAACGGAATTTCTGCCGGAATCTCTCTAGAAATGCCGGAATTTGATCTCTGGATAGAACTTGAAGAGCCCATTCGATCAGTAAAATTCCATAGATAAGAGCGGTTTAATTTACCGAGTAAAAAATGATATTAGAACACGATCACATATTTCCATTATCATACAAGCAAACGCTTAAACTTAGATCTATGAGATTTCAGGTAAATTACTCCAATGGCAATGACGAAAAACTGAATCCGAAGCCGCACGAAGTTGTGCGCGGAGATGGGTATAGTGGGGAAAATGCTTCCATATGAAGTGGCGTTGATGTGGCAATCTCGCGGAGATTACAACGGAGGAAACCTTCATTCATCAGTCCCATAGGGTGTGAAAGATGTAGTTATCTTAATTAATCAAAAGACAGGTAGCTTACTTGTACTTTTTTACTCCTGAAAGTTTTCGGCTCGTACGACAATCTCTTCAGCCAGGAAGTGATCTCCATGAAATCGTTCGCAATGGCTCCATCAGTTCAGAAACATTACGTCACAACATTATCAGGCACAAGAGTTATGCAAAATAGCTTTGAAGTGCACAGGGACCACTTTCGAAAAAAAGCAAAAGAGCTCACGCATCTAAGGATCACGCTTATCTCAGCATTCGTGACCCTACAGACGTATCCACTCGTCATAGCTGCCACAATCACACGCTTACGACCGTCCAATTCAGTACTGAATGCGACTATATCTCCCCTCTAAAAGCTACGTAATTCTTTAACTGGGAGTCTGTACGATAAAGGAACCGGATTTCGTAGTCCCCACTTCAGACAGATTCTCATGCCGGTTACATTTCGATTCAAATGCCAACTTCTACCTACCCATCCATGTAATTTGTTTTTTTTTTACCCTTGTTAGTACATGCCAGCATACGAACTTATTTCCTTCTAAAGCTCTGGCGGAATACGACTCCCGAGATTCTTCTGAAATGGTGTAAAGACCCGCTAGACCGACATTATTATGAAATAGTAAAATTATATCCTCTGATCAGCTGCAGTCGCGTTATCGCCCGTCGAAGGGAATTTTTGAAATTAATTCACTGTAATGTATGTACAACAGTGGCAGGCGCGTTCTTCTCATTCTCATACGGCACGGAACCCCCTAAACGGCCCAGAAGATTATTTAGACCGTATTATAGTCATATTCCATGAATCCATATTTCTGTCACTGCGCTTCCGAATGGAAGACGAGTACGTGGCGCATTCCATGTAGAAGTGCATCTGCTCCTCTACGCCCCCTCCACACGCCTTCTCGTCTGCAGGGATAATGGCCATAAAATGCAGAAATCAGATGTCAGATGTTTACAGCACGATAAAAGGCGTATACTCTCCAAGTCCACGAAGAAACGCTCAAAATTTTTTCACTTTCGCCTAATTTTTTCCATATTTGATAGTGGCATGAGGGTTGGGAATGGAAATTATGCTCGATACTCAAATAGCATACTTACCTGTACGTAGCCGAGTACCGTTGTCCATCTGGTCTGTTTGCCTGATTCGACGACTTTTGGACCCTTAGCGAACGCATTACGCCATACTCGTTCGTTCAATAAAAGATGCTGACCACAAAATCAATAATGGATCATGAAGCGATCAATAACTAATGGTCTCACCTGTAGAGCGGCACCATCCACATGTGCAGTGCTACGACGTACATATGGATAACGAAGTGAGGAGTTCATTTTACCGGACTTTCCTCATTTGTAGTATCTGAAAGGATCGATAGGGGGCGAAATAATTGCCAGCAAAATATATCGATTGGTAACGTCGATTTGAAGCATGTCCCGTGATCAGAAGGGGCGGGTAGTCAAAATACTAACGACAAAGTGGTACCTACATATCTGAATAATAGTGGAAAAGCCTAAAGAAACCTTTCAATAAGCCTCGGATAGTACTCTGTGCCGAACCAGGATTGTATGAGCACAAAGCAAGGAGAATGCGTGCTTGGACGAGTTCTTACTCTGATATCATAACGAATATCTGCTCTTCCTCCTTATTACCTCACTGACGCCATTTGGAGTGGAAAGAGTTTGCCCTTTAAAAATGATTGGGTGTGGTATAGGCCAGTGGGCGGAGCATAGCCTTTGTCGTGACCTGGTGGCGTCTTTATCTATACCTTTGAGCCGCCAATATGATACACTCTGTGTGTTTGCGCGAAAAAGACACTTGTCCGAAGACTGCATCTGCACTCGGGACATGCCTTCAAGTTGTTTCAATAAAAGCCGGGAGATGTCCATGAAAAAATACATTTGAACCGACTGGGAGCGAAAAGTATGAGACAGCACAGTTCTCGGGTGTCGTTAAGGAGACCCAAGGAGACGAGTAAAAACTAGTATGGTTAATTAGCTAGTTGATATGCTGCAGCACTTCCACCTAGAATCACTTAGGTCCTGGTGGTGCCTACGTGACGTCACTTGTAATGCTGCCATGCCGCAGTGCGGATCTGCCAGACGACAGTCCGACTTTGTCGGCCTTGCTCGAAAACACATTCAACATTTGCGATGCGCCACGCATTTGTGTCTTCATTAAAGGGCTGCAGAAACGTTCGAATACCAGTTGCTAGAGAAAGACAAGTGCGAGATGTTAGCCGGGTCTAGAGCGGACTGGATGGGATCAGCTACGGAGAGAAATATGAACCTGTTATCGTGGCAACTTGAAAAAAAACCAGTAAAAAAAGAGATAATGTAGATGAAGTGATACGACGTTGAAAAACTCCTTTTTGGATAAGCCACGTACTCCACTTCTGTTCAAAACCACCGTTGAATTGTTGAGTTTGCCCGCGATGTACAAGTCAATGCTTCTATCGTCCATCTTTCCATTTGTCTACTACCAATTAAAGGACCTGCAAGAACGTGAGAGCTGGGTTGACCCGAGCGGCAGTGGATTCGAAATTTAACCAGCGGGCCATGTGTAGTTATTAAAGCACCGCCCTTCAACAGTGAATAGGAATATGTAGAGTAGCATCTGTGCCTTGCACCTCTTCAAAACACCACAAAGCTTTTTCTCTGGGTAGAGTTCGACTTGGTGGGGCACCAAAATGGTATTCAGCAGAGCTTAGAAAAGAATATGGTCATGCTTTTTTAGCACGGTCTGCGATAAAGAGCCTGGGTAATAATTTCGAAATATGGGGGACAAAGTTACCAAGTGACTCGTTTGGAAGAGAAATGCCCAATGAATGTCTAAAGCAACCTTTATAAGACCCATCTAACCTCAAGGAAGACGGGTTGAAAGGCTAAAAAGTCGCGTCATTGCGGCAAGTCCGCCCAACTGATTCTTTGTAATGAACCCCCATACCCTACAAGAGGGAATGATCCTTCTTATGCTACTTGTCCGGCAGCATCGCTTTTGACTGCAAGGCGCAGTCACTGGAAAAGGGGAGAGTCACTGGAGCAACTTTTGCAATTACCCTAAAATCCCATAGATAAGAGCGGTCCATAGATAAGAGCGGTTTGTGCTAGAAAATGAAAATTGACGTTTGTATACGTTTTTTTGGCGTTGTGTGCTCATGATTATCGCAATAATAGCCTACAACTCTACCTTTATTCTTACTGTTTTCTATACTCTTTCTATCCTGTATCACCTGCTATGAAACGTCGTAAATCGTATACAGCAGCTTTCAAGCTAGACGCCGTCAATTATCGTGATTTGCATGGAACCTTGGCAGCGGCTCGTCATTTTGAAGTCACTGAAGCAATGATAAGAAAGTGGGTTGTTGATCGACAAAATCTTCAAGAGATGCCAAAATGATGATCAAATTGATCAAATGATAAATTTTAAAAATGTTTTTTCAAAATCATTTTTTACCGGTAAATTAAACCGCTCTTATCTATGGAATTTTACTGATCGAATGGGCTCTTCAAGTTCTATCCAGAGATCAAATTCCGGCATTTCTAGAGAGATTCCGGCAGAAATTCCGTTAAAATCGCTATTTTTCTATATGAATTGTTTATTAAGTGGGCGGGGTTTAGAGTTGAGGGGCGGAGCTTCTTCTAAACTTCTTCTCCGATTTTTATTTATCCATCCATCAAGTTAGAGGGGTGACTGCATTCAATTTCAATTTCATTCCAATTCATTTTTCACCGGTAAATTAAACCGCTCTTATCTATGGGATTTTAGGGTAGTTGAACCTATAGCCCTGACTCCTTCACCTTGCAAGGTTCCGCCACGAAAATGGCACAAGATTCTGCATTAGGTGCACTCCACCCTTCCCATACAATCTTTTGCATAGTCAACGCGGACCCGCGGACTCTCTTTCACGTAAGGTCAGATTGCGCCTCCCAGCTACCTTCTTCAAACAAACAAACCGGGTCCCAGAAGAATGATGCCGTGGGTAAACTGGGTGACCACCGAAAATAGCGTGCATTTCATGCAGGAAATTCAGCGTGATCAATAAAATATCGACCTATGTGGCCCGGAGGCCTTGTGGCCAACAGCGTTGCGATATTCCTTTGTTCTGCTAATTACATTATCAGCTGAATAAGCTGGGAACCTGGAATCGGCTTGGGCAGCGTCCTAGTACGATAGGTCATTCATGCGGATTATCGGAGAGTGCAAATGCTCTGAGGGTGCAAAAGCTACTCGGCTAACTGCTGCAAGCCTCACTCTTATAAGACACATAGTACACTCACACACAATTGAGGTGGTATGTCGACTATCAGGCCTCACCAGCTGTCGACTGTGTCAGTTGGTTCCTCACGCCCAAACATGCCCGGGAATGGAGATACAGGACCGTGAAATGAACGCTAATTCCCCCATGCTCCGCCTTACACCTTTTTACGGCGTAGATTCCCGTCCTCCATAACATCGTCGTGAAGCGCGCGTGATGTCGCGTTGGCGGGCTTCCTTGGCATTGTCCGAGTACTTTAAATTGCCCCGCTGTTCAAATTACAATGACCGCAATTTCCCTGATGCGGATGATACTGGACGGTGCTTCAAGTAAGGCACAGAGAATGATGACGTGAGCGTCAGCAACTTAAAAGGCAACTGTGCCACTTCTGCAACATCCCTCGGAGGCCGCGTATTTCCACGAAACATGAAAATAAACGGCATACTCGTTAGTTTGATACAAGCAAAACGCAATTTCCTGATGCGAATAAAATTAGGTGTTGCTCATACTTCAAAATCCATGTACAAGGAGATGAAGATGACACAGGCTAGAAATGAAGCACAACGATGTAAATGTAAATAAAACAAAAATGAAAAAATCAAGGAAAGGCAAATTAGTTGAAATCGCCTGTAAATTTCTACGATCCGGCGCGAATCCGGCGCCAAAGCCATAGAAATACTTAGAATAAACGAGTGGGACGCTTGGATTGTTTTTATTCTCATGTTTTCTGGGAATGCGCGGCCTCTGATGGATTCTGCGGATGCAGCCGAGTTGCTCTTGAGTTCTGGCCCTTGTCATCATCTTCTGTTCTTATTTTGTAGCACCTCCAATGTTATCCGCATCAGGAAATTGCGTTTTACTCGTATTT